AAGAAGAAGAAGAAGAAGAAGAAGAAGAAGAAGAAGAAGAAGAAGAAGAAGAAGAAAGAGAGAGAGAGAGGGGGAAATAGAAAACAGACTACTTACTTGTAAACCCCTCTGAAATACTGAGTGGCCCATAAAATTAGCCAACATTCGAATTAAAGCTGCACCCTGTAGGAAACAAGATGGAGAGATTGTGTTTCAACAGGGATAAAAAAGTATACACACACACACATACACACACACACACACACAGAGTAATCACTAAAAGTACAAGCCCTATTTTCTTTAATCTCACTTCTATCAAGTGAATTTCAGAAACAACAGAATGGTCAAATGAATACCACAAGCCTACAGGGTTCCATAATTTCATAAGTATCAATAGACCCTGTATCTAGCCACAGTACACAACCCTTCTCTGTAAACTCTGAAGATGGTCTTCCAAATAAATTTTTTTAAAAAATGCTATCCTGCAACCTAACCGCTAACAAGCTTGTGTGGTTTTCAGATGACAGACATTGTTAATCATGGGATCTATATTCAAAACCTTTCCAGGCCAGCAAAATTCAGCAAAATTTGGACTCTACTGGTATAGCCTTAAAGAGACCAGGATAACTCACCATCACATGTGGATAAGACATGATGTCTAGAAATATCTCCCTCTGGCATTGCTATTTGTTACTAACAGTTTTCTTTTTCATGTAACAGCAATGGCTTAAAAGTAAAGCAACATATGACAACAGAATGGTGGTTTTGTGGGTGTGGTGTTTTGGGCTTAGAGCTTTAGAAATCATTTCTAGAATCTGCTTGCCCACAATAATTTTTTTGCAGAATGCAACATTCCCCCTAGTTCTGTCTACATCCAAAGCCATACTGGATTTGGATTTGGATTACAACCTCTCAACTTTCTTTAGAAGCTTAAGAGAAAGTGCTGACATTCATTGGTCAAGGAAAAGGACTTGTTCATCAGGGAGTTCCCTGAACCAATGAAATGACATGTCTAGTCCCTATCCTATAACAATAAGTGTCACTAGAGTGAATAGAAAGCCAGGCTCGGAGTCAGGAAGATTTCATTGCAAGTGCTCCCTCCACTAATTCATTCCACAGTTAAGTCTGTGTGGCTCTGGTCGAGTCACAGTCTTTTAGTGCCCTGAGCAACTCTATAGATAGACTACAAGTAGCAGATGATTATATAGTGTTGGATCAAAAGCTTGGAGAGTCCTTGAAGCAATCTGGCCCAACCTTCTTTTTACAGATGAGCTCTGAGGCCCTGGGCAAGTCACTCTCAGTGCCAACAATTCTTTAATACCAGAAGTTGCAGATGACTATAAGATTCTGGGTCAAGAGATGGAAAGGATCTCAGAAGTCATTTAGTACAATGCCCTCATTTTAAGATGAGGAAACTGAGGCACACACAAGTTAAATGACTTAACTATGTTCACACGGGTATTAAGCATCAATGGGAAGATTTGAACTTGGGTGTTCTGGCTGTTCAGCCTTTACACTGTACGTGCTCCACGGAGGGAGTTTCCACCTAGAGAGTTTCTAATACCATTGAAAATGAAATAATAGATCTGACTACAATAAATTCCAAATGAACAATTACAGCAATAATAAAACAATAAAAATGTCATGGTATCATGACAGCTAACAGAATGAGAAGCAGCAAAGCTCTAAGCTAATTGTCTAAGCTTTATTCTCCATTGCTCAATTTGGCCATAGGGTGCTCCTAACTAGGCCCTGAACCTATACTAAGTCCTATGGATGTATTCAATTGCCATATTCACTGAATGAGAGAGCTCATTAAAGGCATTAGTAGTGATTTGGATGAATACTTTACCTTACTTCATTTCTTTTACCAAATGCTTTCCTCTCCAAAATGTTGTGCAGTCCTATTATCATTCTCCACATTTTAGAGGAAGAAACTAAACTTCAAAGAGGTTGAGACTTGTCTAAGCTCACTGTGCAAGCAAATGATAGAGCTTAGAAGCCCCTAACTCCTGGTACAATCATGGGCTGACAGATTTTGAGCTGGAAAGGTCCTTAGGGGCCATAGAGTATAGCTCTCTGGTCTTATTTTATTATTTTATATTACTAGAGACGGGATTTTTTAAGCCATTTTAAAGATGTAATACTAAAGATGATGATGACAATGATGGAGGTGGCAGGCAACATTTACAATACACTTTACAGTTTTCAAATAGTTCCATACATATTGTCTCATTTGATCCTCTTGCCACCCCTATGACCCTAACCAGGTGAGGAAAATGAAGGTCAGAGAGGATAGGTGCATATAGGATATATACATAGTAGGTAGAAGAACTGGCATTGGTAGCATTGGTAGTGGATTAAGTGCCAGGCCTGGAGTCAGGAAGACCTGAGTTAAAATCTGACCTCTGACATGTACTGGTTGCATGACCCTGGGCGAGTTACTTAACCTCTGTCTACCTCAGTTTACTCAGCTTTTGTAAAAGCACTTTCAACTATTACAAATGCTCAAATTAATTATGGATGACCTATGAAGGAAGACACTATTTCCTGATAAAAAGAAGTCTATATAGGATGATTTTACATAAATATACATATTTGTGTCTAATAGTAGCCATCTCTAGGGCAAGGGCGGGGAGAGAAGAAAAAAAGGGGGAAAAGTTTCATGACAACTTAATTATATATTTAAAAGGAATAGCAAATTGTACATATTAGATTTGCAGTTTTGTTGTAATCATCTTTTTTTTATTCTACCATGTTATGAAAATGCTTGTTATTTCATAAATTAAAAATAAAATTTAAAGAACAAAGCACTTAGCATAGTGCCTAGAACATAGAAGGGCCTACATGAATGCTTATTCACTTGCTCCTCAAGCTGTCTGACTCCAAACCCAGAACTTTTTCTGTTCCCATACGGCACTGCCTACCAGCCCTTACACTATTTTTTCTCTCAATAAAATAGATATTATGGCTGGTGATAGCAGAAAAGGTAATTTTTAAAAAATTCTACCTGGCCATGGGAACTATCATTAGACTGTAGGAAAATTTCATGATGAAACAAATATACATTCACAACTTAGTTCAAAGGAATAGGAATGCACACGCCCACGTTACCTCCCCATCCTACCCCCCTCCAATCACAAATAATTAACTGCAAATGCAAATAAGGCTGTCAGGATGAAATGAGAAAATAGATTTGAAAGCACTTTGAATTTCTAAAGTGCTCCCCAAAATGAGACTGAAAATATGAGATTCACAGATGAGAAGCCCTCAAATAAATGTCATCACAAGGAAAGTCTCTATGTCAGCAATAATTTCCATATCATGGTATGGACTACAGAAACAATGCTTCACTGATCCAGGTTCACTGAATTCTGTGGAACAAATCTTCAGTTAAAACAAATGCTTTATCTGATTTTTATTTAAGTAATAATTCATGTTACAGACAGAGAGGAGAAATCTGGGCTTTATTCCTTTCAGTCTTCTAGTAATTACTTTTCAACTTCCTTTTCTCCTCACTTCATTCTACCCAAATATCTAACCCATTAAATCTTATGCTCTTCCAGGGCAAAAACTGTCTTTTGCCTCTTTTTTTTTTATATCTCAAATGCTTAGCAGGTGCCTGGCACACAGTAGGTACTTAAGTAAGGCTGATTGGTTGATTAATTGAACCAGAAAATCACAGAATCTTAGAGTAGGAAAGAACTGAAGAGACTATCTACCTCAACCCATATGCCACCAGGAATCACTGCTTTAACATTCCCAGCAAACAAATGATCCCCCAAGTCTTTGTTTGAAGACATTCAGGAAGGTGAAACCCACTGCCTCCAGAGGCAGCCCATGGTGCTTTCGAGTGGGCTCTCATTTTAAAGGACATTTTGTTTTAAATCAAGCCTAAATTTGCCTACAATCATCCATCATAACAAACAAGCAAAAGGATGCAGAATCTAAAAGGAAACAAGGGCCAATTGGGTCATGCCAGAGGATGACAGTGCATTTCTGCTGGACCATGTTTTACGACAAGTAAACATAAACAAAAATCCCCATTTTTCCAATCTCCTAAAACAGTAGCATCTAAACTCTTTTGATCATGTCTCTATCAGTTTTTTTTAAATGGTTATGTACCCCAATATGTGTATATTTACTTATTTTAAAATTGCAGTAATGGTGCTAATGACTTTGAACGTTGTAAAATTATATTACACAAAAACAGGATAAGAAAAAGGCGAAATAATAGTTGAACCTATAGTCAATAGACAACCATTGAAATTTATTGAGTAAGGGAGTTGCATGGTCCTACCTGCGATTTAGGCAAATCACTTTGACAACTCTCTCCCCAAATACCCTGGATTTGCCTACTTTGTATTAACTCTGTTTAGACTTATTCTCTATATAATTATATATGCACTTTGTTTCCCCTTTTAGAATGTAACCTCTTTGAGAGCAGGGGTTGTTTCATTCACTGCATTCCTCTCCTCAAAGTCTAGCGCAATGTCTAGCACGTAGTAGTCACTTCAAAATATTTGTTTGATTTCTTGATAACTTGGAGGAGGGTGGCGGAATGCCCCCAGTGCAGAAGCAGGCAGTTAAGGAACATACAATGCTAGCGCTGAAAACAAGCTCCGTGACTGGCTATAACAGGGAGGGTAGCATGTGACCCACCTTCCCAAGCTTTAATGGATCCCATGCCCCTTGAGGTGAGACAACAACCCTCTTGGAATCAAACCCTGCCCTTAGTTGGAAGAACACTTCCCTGGACTATAAATATATTACCAGAGAACTAGAAATCAACTTACTACATCTAGTCTGGTTTCCTCCTATCCCTTCTGCCTTTTCTTCAACATAATTGCAAGTGCTTTTGTGATATCTTCTTCTCCCAACTATTTTCTCCATCAAATCTGCCTTGCTAAATTTCACCTATTAATTTGGGGAAAGGCCTACAAAGATCACCCTGGTGGTGGTGAATCCCTTTCTCTTTCCTCTACCGATGGAGCTGTTCTATTCATTTCTAGGTCTTGAAGTGCTGGAATGTAATTTCTAGCACTTTTTTATTCAATTATCGAATTCAGAATTCCATTTTGACAACGCAGTTCAAACAGTCCCTGGAGCAGCTCTTTAACTGAATTCCTTTAAGTGTGAGTGTTAGGCAAGGTAGCATCTAATGAAAGACTATTTTTCATAAG